TATAAGAAGTGCTATAGGTATACCTAAAAAGTGTAAGAGATGCTTTGGGCATTCTTAGAATTTGTCTATAAATAGGATGTCATAAACCTATTTATACACAAGACAAAATACACTTTTCTTCATACTTTCTCTCTCTAAAGCTCCCACAAACTTACATTTAGAGATTGGACATAGAGGTGATCTTTTGGGGCAAAAAAGGTTGTACAAGTAAGAATTTGTAAGGAAGGTAGATCTCAAAAGTTATAGGATAGAGGAGATACATCCTTCAAGTGGGTCTACACAGATGAAAATCACTACACCTGATATATAAACTTTATATATACATACATTCACATTCATACGTTATTTTTGAAAAGGCTAATTGTCTCTGCACAAACCTTGTTTAATCACATGTTTTCAATTTTTATCTCATTTCCCTACATCAATGATGCACGTTGCTTACCAATGATATAATTCTATTAAAACATTAACATATAAAAAAATGTGTTAGATCAAAAGGTTTATATATTAATAGACTAAAACCTACCCAGGGTCTTGTGCCCAATGGTATCTCCTCTACCTCCCAAAGTGGATGGTGAGAGTTCGAGTCTCCAAAGGAGCAAAGTGAGTGTGTGAGTTTCTTGCCAATGACAAAATAATAATAATAATAATAATAGACTAAAACCTAAAACCTAAATTTATGGAATGTAAATTTATAGTCAGATTTTAATAATATAATGACCACACTTTAGAACCAACAGATTAGTCAAAATAACTATTTTTTATGACGATTTATATGGAGATATAATTAATTGAATTGGAGTAGGGTGGACAAAATAGAGACAAATTAGTAGTGATTTATGCAATAAAAAAATAACAAATAAATTTAAAAGAAAATTTTACAAAACAATTACTAGGCCAACTATCTTATATGACGTAGAGTGATGGGTTTTAAAAAAGAAACAGGATCAACGAATTCATGTGGTGGAAATAAGTATGTAATATGGATGAAAGGAGTTAAAGAGCTAGAGTTATTAACTAAAATGTGAGAGAAATTAGGAGTGACTCCTATTAATGAAAAAAAAAAAAAACAAAAAAAACAAAAAAAAAAGGACTTGGGTAGTATATATATAGACATTTACAAATAAGACCTATAAATGCACCATTAAGAAGAGAATGATTTATTTGATATATAGAATGAGACTTAAGGTGAAACTATTAAAAATGATTTTAAAATATTAAATATTTTAAGTGAGATGACTTGACTTATCATAACAAAGATAAAAAGAGAATTGATATCACCAGCTACATTTACATGTCAATGAGGCAAGGAGGATGATTTTTTCGTCCCACATTGCCTTATGGGAAAGGTTGTTGGCACTTATAAGGGGCCTCTTCTAACTATGTAGATGCATTGTTGGCACTTATAAGGGGCCTCTTCTAACTATGTAGATGCATTTTGAAAACTGTGAGGCTTGCGTAGCGCAGTGTGGACAATATCCACACAATGTCAGGAAGGTCCTTACAGATGGTATCAATGTGGAGTATATATTTTGTAATTGGTATATTTTGGTGTCAAAACATGTCCGGTCCAATTGTAATTTTTAATTTACTTTTGAGTCTTGATGTCAAAAGCAGAATTACAAATGCAAGCCTACTCCATATCAATGAGAACATCCCTAAGAGAGGTATGTGAATGAGGACACATTGCACATAGTTTATTTTTATGTTAAGTTGATAGCTATGAGTTTTTAAGTAAAAAACAAGTATAATTTTACTCTCAGTAAAGGTACAACCGGTTCTGTTTCAAACACAACCAGTTGCACTTTTCTTATGTTGAAAAGTATGTCTTAGTAAAAACAAAACCGGTTGCGTTCTAAAACGGAATCGACTGCACATGTTCGAACATAAAAGAAAAGTTCTCTTTTAAGTAAAATTTGATCGAATTCCTTTTTGGTCAGTAGAGAGAAGCTTTTGCACGAAATTGTTAAGTTTTTCAGGGTTATTAGGTCTCTCAAAACACCTATAAATATTCTTTATGACCTCAAAAATAAAAAAAGGATTTTATGATTAAGTTTTCAAAACTTTAGAGAGCTATTGTGAGATTTTGTAGAGATTATTTATTTTTCACATTAAGAATACACATACTACACACACGACACGAGTGATCTAGGATGTGATTCTTTTAATCTGAGTTCGTACCAATCAAATATCTATTGCTACTGTCATCAGAGTAGATTTGTTATTACAACTTCAACAACCCAAGTTTAAAGAAAAGGAGGAAGAGATCGCATTTTGAAGGAGTCAAACCGTTCGTGGAATGTTCGTTAATCTACCATCAATCCTTCCACAAGGATCAAGGGAGTGAACCTAAAGTCTAGTGCGTTTGGACGGGAGAGTCGCAAAGCCGAAGACGTTCAATAATTAATTCTTGGTAAAAGTTCATTATACTTTGTTTCAACTCTAGTGAATCTTTTCGTTCGAGAACACATGACATTCTTTGAGATTATTCCCATAATTTGATTATTTTTCTAGGTGAGGGTTTTCTCACTAAAACGGGGTGTCAAGCCCTAGCCTACTTTTACTTTATTTGCACTTTATATTTGTTTTAGACAAAAATGCAAAAAACCCCTGAACTATCACGAATCCGCATTTTACACCCTTGGACTAAAGAAAAAAAACAAGTCAGTACCACAACTATCAAAATCTTGTAAATTAACCCTTGAAACGCAATTCCGGCCACTTTCCGGCCAACGCCATTGTAAATTTACAAAACCACCCATCATAATTAAGAAAAAAAAAAATAAGAAAACAAAAAATAAGCGTGAAATACCCTCAATGCTCCTCAATACCCTTAAATATCGAGTTAGTTTTTCCAAACGTTGCCTAAGTGTTATAACTTGTAACCCTCTCTATTCCTTGCTTAGAGAAGAGAAGATGCAAAGTCGCGAATGTAGAATGCATAATATGGTCATATACATATAGATTTGTATTATGCTTATTCTGGATTTTGGCTTATGAAGGCTTCAGATTTGTTCCTCTGCAAAACCCATCTCCAGATCCATACCAAGCCCTCATGTAAGCCTCTATGTCCTTGACCAGATGCTTCTCTCTTAAACCCATCTGCAAAAATTGTTCCTTCTCTACTTTTGACCCACTAATCATTCCTTCATTCATCCCCAAATTGTCGTCGTCCTCCAAAATTCTCGGCTGTGAAGACTTTTTGGGGTTGTTGTGAGCTCTTTTCTTCTCCGGTAACGACGACACCAGAATCTGAAAGTAGATTCTTCCCGTCTTCATCTCCGTAAACAGCGATAGAATCAGAAAAAAGTTTGATTCTATTATTGTTATTTTTTAATGGTTTTGCTTTTAGTTCTTGAATTGGGCATATATATGGTTTATCTAGGACTTTCCTGAGTCTTTATCAGAGACAGAGTTAGAACTGCATCATCCAATCCCTAGAGAACAATGAAAGCAACTGAAAATTTAGGCATAACTCCATTGATTTGAGACCATTATCAGGAATTTACGGAAGGTATGTCGTCGCGAGAGAGAAGGGTTTGTGTGTTAAAAACGATATATTTTTAACGTCAAATTTTGAAGTGTTCGGCATGCAGTAGGAAGTAATTCCTTGCTACTGTTAATAAAATAGAGAGAGTGAGGATCTCTTCATAAAATTATAAATTACTTTTTTAAAATTAAAAAGTAAAAGTATTTTATTTTTACCCAGAACAGTTAAACACCATTGTATTTCAAGATGCGTAGATCATATAATAAAGTAACAATATGATTTATAATTTATTGAAATTAAGTAGATATTGCAGGAGGTTTCACCCAATGAAATGACAATATAGTTATAACTCATTAAAATTATTATATATGTTAAGAAAAAAAAATTAATAAAGGTAATTTAGTTTTAAAAGGTACTAACTCTTGAATTTAATTCTTATAAAATAGTTTAAAATCAATAAAAATGTGAACAAATCTGAAGTCTCACATCTGGTCAAGTGTTGTAACTTGTAACCCTCTCTATTCGGTGTGTATTGTCCAGTACTACATTATATATATATATATATATATTATCATATGTGTGTGTGTGATAATATATATAAACACACGTGTATATATATATTTATATACATGTAAATACACACACGTATAATTATATATATATATATATATATATATATATGTATGTATATCTTACCTTAGACCTTGTTCTTCAAATTAGTCTGAGTATTTGGTGTAGAGGTGGAACAGTAGATTTAGAGGATGGAAGAAGACAAATGAACAAATGGGTTCATTTATAGGCTAAGGGCTACAATGGTAATATTTCGGGGCAATTTCGAAATTAAAGGAAAATGACAGTCACGTGCTGAGCTTGTGGGCCGGAAAGTGGCCAGAATTGCGGGGTTAATTTGCAAGATTTTAGATAGTTGTGGTATTAGCTTGTTCATTTTTTTAGTCCAGAAGAATAAAATACGTATTTGTGATAGTTCAAGGTTGTTTGCGTTTTTGCCTTTGTTTTATGATTTGTTAATTTAGTTTTATTTCTATAAAAGTAATATTGGTCAAAAATCAAATAAAAGGGCAAGCAGGACATATTCACCCCACTAGGTAATCCATACTTACATTTCACAACCCTTCCACCTTGTGCAACTCACAACGAGCTAATCTCCAGTTATAAATATGAAGAGTGTGCACGTTACACAGAGTCCCGAGGGTGGTTGATTGTGATGTCGCACGTTACACACATTTTGAAAACCATACGAAATTTACTGTGTGAGGGAGGTCCTTACAATGATGGCGATGAATGTTGAGTTTTATTGAATGATACAGTTAAAACAAGGTGAAATGAGCCAAACTGAGGTTTCTTAATAGTCCCCAAATCCCAAAACCTAGGTCCCTCCGTTCGTCTCGAAATTTATCATTATAAATAACTTGCAGTCGATTGACCAAAAACTTTAAAGTATTGCAATTTGATATATATTTTGATCCATTGTTTAATTTTTCTATTGTAGGGTAAGGGAAAAGCATTTTGTGCAGGTGGAGATGTCGTCAGAGTAATTCAGTTAATAAAAGCAGGTTTTTTAGATGTTCTTTTTCTACTTGATTGTTGTTCTTTTTCTACCAATTTTGTAAAAAAAAAAAAAGGATGGGTTGTGAAAATATTATGAAAACATCTTTTTATTTATGTTGGTGATAAATTACCTTCAAATTCAAATGTCAGGACACTGGAGCTTTGGCGCAAGTTATTACAGGAAACAGCTCACATTAGACTATCTAGTTGCTACATACAAGAAACCTTTGGTGAGACGTATATATATATATATATTTACATAATTTTGTTCATACTTTGATTAATATATTTATTATTTGTTTATCTTTTTTTCCTTTTTTTTCTTACCCTAAATCTCTAATTTAATTCAAATATCAATATTACTGAAGGTGTCCCTCATAAATGGAATTGTAATGGGAGGTGGTGCTGGACTAACCATGCATGGAAGATTTCGGATTGTCACTGAGAATGCTGTACTTATCTGTCATTTTCACTCAACAACACTCAAATGTTTCATTAATGATTGTGCGCAGATCCTTCTCACACACACACCACCAGACCAGACTGGGAACCCTGAAATTGAAATCAAGTCTTCTATATTCTTTAGTCTACACAAAATAAAAGGACCCTCTATTGTGGGCTAGACGATACAAAAATTATAGTTATTTGGTTATAAGTTTCAATGAAGTATACGTTTTTTTTCCCCTTAGATTAACCTGGGGTATCTGGGGCTTTGCCCGACTAATCCCCAAGGACCGAGGAAAAGTGCCTCCCCACCCCGGCTAGGTAAATCGCCCCAAGGGATAGTTTGCACACAGTGGCAGGGGTAAGTGACCTTGCCACTGATGCTTACTTAACTATTCCTTGCACTTCATCCGTGCTGACTATTTTCAAGTTGCAATTACGCTTCTTTTGACATGGTTTGATATTTCAAAGAAATCTTTTTTCCCATATAAAAGTACAACTTGAAAATTTTATAATAACTTTCTAAATGCAATATGCACAAAAAGGGAAAAGAAACACTGGTCATAAAGTAAAATTTTGATACTATGAATGAAAACCTTAGCAGCTAACAAATTAAACCCCTTATTATTTTTGTATGCATTTGATAAAGTTCTATCCATACAAGAAATCAAATAGAAAATTATTGTTGATTTGTTGTTGTTATGGATGCTGGATATAGGTTTTTGCAATGCCGGAAGCATCAATAGGCCTTTTCCCTGATGTTGGATCATCACACTTCCTCTCTAGGCTGCCAGGCCATTTTGGTATCACTTCCAACTCTTATTTCTGTTCGGAAAATTCAGTAGATTTCATTGATTATTTGAACCACACTTTTTATGATTTCTTGTCATCATTAAGAAATGAGCATATTATACAATTCTAATATTCACAAAAGAGATGCAATGGAATAACTAAATGTTTGGTTTTAACACCTTATTTTAATCAAAACAAGAAGAAGTAATCTTAACACCTTATTTTAAGACTCTGGTTTGACATCAGTCCTAACACCTTTACTTCTTTAGATACTGAGGATCTTGTTTATTGATATATTACTTTTTACTCTCTTATATATAAAAGATGGCAGTATTCTGATTTCTTAGCTTCAACCATAACTCATTCACAGCATTCAATTCTGCATATTTCAGCATTGCTTCCCTCTCTTTCATAGCTCAATCACCATCAACATTCATGGGGTTGAAATAAACTTTTTCTCCCCTGAAAATAAAGGTTAATAATGTATTAAAAGGTAAATGTACAGGCCCCAACATCTCATTCGTGGAATTTCAACATCTCATTCTTAGCTTCAGGCTTCTGCAGTTCTAATTGGTACGTTGTAGCATCAGGAATAAGGTTCGAGTGGTTAAGAACTTGGCCCTGATGCCTCGGGAAGCATCAGGTCTAAGGTTCGAAACCTCTTGGGTGCAAACAATTCCTTGAGAGTGGGGGTGAGTATTAACTAGGGAAAAAAAAATTGATACGTTGTAGCAGAACTTATTGTTGAATTCTTTGAGTTTCGAGTAAGACTCAACATAGCCAGCAGCATATTGACTCCATGATTGTGCATGAAAAAGCCTTTGAATGTTTTCTGATCCATCTAATGACATATTGACTCCCTTATCATAGTAGTCAGACAAATCTTTAATGCTTATTTTAGAGAATAAATTCAAAGAAGTCATCTATATTTGAATTCTTTATATATAAGATTAGGATTAAGCTGACTTCACAAATCAATACAATCACGTTGAAATCTTTATTTATGAAGAAATCATTTAATGGGAAACGACCATAAATTAATAGTTATTAAAATATTGTTGAGGCTACTCGTGAGGGAGTATTTTGCAGGTTTCATTTCTTCTATAAAAGTTTAAATTTAAATTAACTCAAGTTTCATTTCTGACATTTTAGTGGAGGAACCACTGGCAGTGGTGTGACCTGATGTAGAGGTTGCTAATATTGGGACAGATTGGGTAGTTGACAATATTTGAGTCACTAGTGAGCTGCTGGGAGTCTCATCAGAGGGTAATGACGATCAGACATTATCTATCCTTCAAGCAATTGTGAAAGGAAGAGAGGTCATAGTGACCAATGAAGTCATGATCACGAGGCCCTTATCGTCTTGGAAAGGGGCACAGGAGATCAAGAATCTCATCTCTGATGTCAATTACGAAGGGAAGAGGGGTGGTGAAGGAAAGGGGAAGGACCAGGAGTAGGAGTTTAAGGAAGGGAGAAGGGGAGATAATTTTATCTGGTTTTTAATGAAGCTACGAATCATTACATAGAATGTTTGTGGTCTCAATGATCCGAACAAGAGAAGGGTGGTAAAGGTAGCTTTAAGGAAGTGGGGGGCCAGGTTGTTTGCTTGCAAGAAACCAAGCTGGCATCCATTTCTAATGGGGTGATGAGGAGTTTGTGGGGAGGGAGGTTTGTGGAATGGGAGGCCTTGAATGCAATAGGTACTTCGGGTGAGATCTTAGTTATGTGGGATAGCAGATGGTTGTCTAGAATGGATGTGTGGATGGGGAGATTTTCCGTCTCATGTGTGTTTAAGATGGAAGAGGACACCTTCAGATAGGTTTTTTCTGGTGTCTATCGACTGGTTGTTGATAATGAGTGACCTATTTTCTGGGAGGAGCTCTGCCATGCCCAAGGATTGTGGTCTCTCCCTTGGTGCTTGGGTGGGGATTTCAATTCTGTCAGGATCCCGTCAGAGAGGTCTACAGAGGGAAGGAGGTCCTTAGAGATGGATCAATTTTCTGATTTTATTAACGAGCATTGTCTTGTTGATTTACCAATGGAAGGTGCAACATATACTTGGTCAAATGGTAGGGATCCAATTACTCTTTCAAGACTGGACAAATTTTTAATTTCTGGGGAGTGGGAAGAGAAATTCCCGAATGTCGTTCAGGTGGTGTTAGCAAGGGTCACTTTTGATCATGTTCCTTTGGTCTTGGATTGTGGGGGTTTGTGTTCTCGAAGATCCCCGTTTAGATTTGATAATATGTGGCTGCGAGCGAAGGATTTCCAAGGGAAAGTTAGATCTTGGTGGGAGGGAGCAATTATTTCAGGTTCGCCCAGTTTCACGATAGCCAAGAAGTTAAGAGCTCTCAAAGTTGCTCTTAAGTAGTGGAACAAGGATGTTTTTGGGAATTTGGAATGGAGGAAGAACAGAGTCCTTACTGAATTTTCCGAGATTGATTGTCTTGAGGAGGCGGGAGGGGATGTGGAGTCTCTACATTCTAGGAGAGCTTCCTGTCAGGTTGTTCTTGCTGAGATTGCTAGCATGGAGGAGATTTCGTGGCGACAAAAATCCCGGGCTCTCTGGCTAAAAGAAGGAGATCGTAACACCAAATTCTTTCATAGATTAGCCAATGCTCATAGAAGGAGAAATCATATATGACGAATTCGGGTGGAAGATGTGGAGTTGTGGAGGGAGGAAGAGGTGCGTAACGGGATCTCTTCTTTTTATCAGAAGCTTTAGACCGAGCCATTAGCTTGGAGCTATGTTATCCAGACTCGGGTACGGGTGTCGGACACGGGTACGTGTCTAGAGGTTGGATCCACCAATCTATTCAATTATAGGACACGGGAACACGGAATAAAAGTGTCCAAAATTCGGACACGGTATACAAAATATTAAATAATGAAAAATCATATTAGTGATAGTCTGATAAATTTAATCATATAGGCAACTAAGCATGGCATAAGGCAGCAGGCAGCAACTAACAAGATAACTTAGATAAGTAAGAGATGACGTTCATTCATAATTGTTAATTAACTAAATAAGTACTTTATTGAATTGAGTCAATTGACTGAATTCTCACACTTGCACCACATAGATTCTGTTTTCAGTCTTCACTTTTCAGTCACACGGCAGATAGATACAACACCACAGGTCCACAGTCAGACTCTGCACTTCAAAAGTTTGCACTTGAAAAGGCTGAAATATTATTTGAAAGAATAAATTATCAAAAAAAATTCTCAAAACTTAAAAGAATAAAATTATTCCAGTATCAGTTGATTTAGTTGTATCAGTTAATTCAGTTGTATAACCAATGAATGCATAAAGGAAATAGTACTATATTCTTAGCAGAGACAATTGATTCTAATTGGCGCCTTCCCAAGTTACTAAAAGTTGGCTTTCGGATTTCTGACTACTGGTAGACAATTGATTCTATGAATAGTGACCTTCTCCCTCTTCTTTTCTGTCTTACTAGTTCTGCCATGAGAGAGAGAGAAGTTATATATACCTATTGTTATAAATTATAATGAACATAATAAAATTTAAAAGAATAAAATTATCAAAAAAAATTCTGAAAACTTAAAAGAATAAAATTATTCTATTGGAGGTGCATAAAATAAAATTATACAAGTCTGAGTTGATTCAGTTGTATAACCACATGGAGAGAGAGAGAGAGAAGTTATATATACCTATTCAAGTGTTCTTTGTGTTGCAGTCTTGCAGATCAGAGTATATAGAATAGCAACATAAAAAATATGCAGGTCAGAGCAACATAAAAATGGTGCAGTAAGAAGAGAAAGAGAAGATGAAAATGGTGAGACTGGAGCTCTTTTGAAAATGGTGGCGTGTAAGAATGGTGCACAGGATGTGCTTTGAGCCACAAAATATGTCACAGTAGCATTTAATGACCTGACTAAGCCATCACCCCAAACAGCCTTTTCATTGATATACAATCTAATATTATATATTAAGTTAACATTCAAACAACTTTCGTACCTGTGATGATGTGAAGTCACAAAATTAGTGTATAGAATAGCAACATTAATTTAATAATAAATATTTTATTTCTTTACCTATAGTCTGAGCAAGTATTCTTAATTAAATATTTCATCATTCAATTAGTCATTGATTAAATTCGAATAGGCAAAGTAATAATAATTAGCAATAAATCATCTAAGTGATTAAATTCAAATAGGTAGAGTAATAATAATTAGCAATAAATCATCTAATTGATTAATTCATCATCTAACTTAATTGATTACTATAGTCTCTCGATTACTATATAATTATCTATTGATTAGTATAATTTCATTAGTTATCTATTGATTACAATGTCTCATTAACTTAATTACTATATAGTTATCTATTGATTAGTGATTACTATAGTCTCATTAGTTAACTATTGATTACTATAGTCTCATAAGTTCAATTACTATATACTTATCTATTCATTACTATAGTCTTAATAGCAATGTAATGATTATTATAGTCTCATGAGTTCAATTACTATATAGTTATCAATTGATCAGTGATCACTATAGTCTCGTTAGTTAACTTTTAATTTCATGTGTTTAATTATATAGTTATATAGGATCACTATACTAGTATAGCCTCCTTCATTCAATGTGTTTAATTATATAGGTAAATATAGATCACTATACTAGTGTGAGATTTAATTAAACGTATTAAATTATATAGTTATATATGTAATAGGATCACTATATTAGTGTAGCCTTCTTAATTTCATGTATTTAAGTATATAGTCATGTAGGATTACTATAATATTATAGCCTCCTTAATTCAATGTGTTTAATTAGGACAAATATAATTCAATGTGTTTAATTAGGACAAATATAATTCAATGTGAATTATATAGTTAAATACTGTACTTAAATATAAGCTTCTTTTTTTTTTAGTTAAATACTTAATTTCATTCTAATATTTTTGTAAACAAAATAAATAATTTAATGTGTAATTATTTATATAATTATCTTACTAATAAATGGGTATGTGAGATTTAAATAGAAAAGAAACTTAAGTAATATAAATTTAATTTTTTTTTTTTTTTTTTTTTGTAGGATATTTATACCCTTAAACATGATTAATGAGTAATAAGAAAATTATATAATTTTCTTAGCAATAAGTGGGTGTGTAAGCTACCGAGCTTTAAATATGGGATAAAAAGTTAATTAATTTAAATATAATGTATATAATATGTTTTAAAATATTTATGAACCTCAAACATGATTAGTAATTAATGTGAAATTAGTTTACTTTCAATATTTTTTATATGAAAGTTATATAAAAAATGCATAAGTATTTATTTACCCTTAATGGATTTATTAGATTTAATTATACCTTTTATTATTTTAGACAATATTATTTTTAGATTTCCCATATTAGTTGTCCACTTTGAAAAGTCAAAACAAATAAGTCTTATCTTTTGATCATTGTCCTTTATATTTTAAAAAAAACAAGCATTAATATTAATAAATAAGTACACATATAAAGTTATAAACTATTTTGTATTTTATTGTAACAAATTTGTATATATTTTGTTGTATTGATGACGGTAAAATAATGTACAAAGCCCAATGCCCAAAAATAACCTTGTCTAAATTATTCATTGGTTAAACTGAAATTATTATTTTAATGGACAAAAAGTGACCCACTTGTATCAACAACATAACTGGGGTTCCTCCTCTTTCCATCAGTTTGTGTCTACCATCGTGAACCTTCTTCTGTGAGCTTTCTGGTGCTTCTAAGAAAGAAAACATTGAAATAAAAGTGCTTTGTAAATCAAATTCGTAATACCATGTATACAGTCCAGATTTGAAACATGGATTCAGATTGGAATTAATGGAACTCAAATTTCTTATAGTTTATTTTACTACTACATGTTCAATAAGACGAGATCGACGACAAAAGAATGATTCCGGTCGGAATCCATGGATTCCGGTGAGAAGCCAGAATTAAAATATTGAGTCCGGCCGAATCCAATGAATCAACAACTGCTCAGTCAATGCCGGAGGGATTTAAATATGGATTCCGCTTACCCCTCTTGCAATGCTCCCTGGGCAATGGCGATCTCACAGTGTTTCTTGCACTGCTGGCCTGCAATATGAACTCTGAAGAAAACAAAGAGGGAAAAACAAAAAATAAAATAAAACTGGGGAGAAGATTTTCCATGAGTACAAAATTACATAATTGTATTAACTTACAAATATAAGAAGAGTAATAAATAGGGTTATTCTTGTCAAAAACCCCACACACATATATATTTATATATACACACACAAGAGGGAAGAAAGAAAAGAAGTCCCAACCAGATCTTTTGAGGGGCAAAAACGCAACTTAATACTACACAATCTTTTCTAATTTTTTCATCATAAATTATAAGGTCAAAAATGTAAATTTACACCTATTTATTATGTTCAAACGGTCAACATAGTTAGTGGGTTACAGTTGGTAACCCACTAAATGATTATATATATAGATATTTAGATGCTACAATCATATATATATATATATATATATCTACTACCATATATATATATACTACTACCATATATATATAATTATATACACACTCTATTACGTTTCTCAATGACCATGACAGGCTGTCAAGTTTACGCGTGAGTGGGATGCGCCAAATAAGGTAGGTTTCTATGCAAAACCAACGCGTGAAGAACCCTTGTCTTCTCCAAAACCTCCTTCCTGAAATCGCGATGAAACCGCAATGAAACTAGTAATTTCCGACCACTGAAACAAGGGTTTTCTTCAACGGCCGTGTCCGATCTTGATCGTACAAGGTCGGACGCATATCCCGAGTCCATGTCCATGTCGTGTAGTGTCGACACGGACACCCTCGCCGGAAACGACGAGTCCAGGTAACACAGGCTTGGGGGCCCAAACTTGACGGTCTCCCTTTTGAGGCTATTTCTGAGCTGGATAGAGATAGGCTTAAGAGTCCTTTTACTGAAGACGAAGTTCTAAAGGCTTTATCAAGTTGTAATGGGGACAAAGCTCCAGGGCCTGACGGGTTTACTATATGTTTTCTGGTGGAAAGTTGGGCGGTAGTAAGAAATGAGGTAATAGGTAATTTTTAGGAGTTTCATTCCACTGGCGTTTTTGAGAAGTCGCTAAATGCTTCATTTATTGCCCTTATCCCTAAGAAGGGAGGCGCTTCTGATATAAAGGATTTCCATCCAATTAGCTTAGTGGGCTGTATTTACAAACTTATAGCTAAGGTGCTTACTCTAAGGATGAAGGAAGTAATGGATAGGATTATCTCGGATTCCCTGAATGCTTTTGTTGGAGGACGGCAAATTCTTGATGCAGTTCTTATTGCAGGCGAATGTGTGGATTCCAGATTGCGTAGTGGTGTTCCTGGAGTATTATGCAAACTTGATATTCAAAAAGTTCACGATCATGTGAACTGGAATTTTTTACTCTATTTGTTACAAAGAATGGGGTTTTTTGGAAATAAATGGAGGAAGTGGATTGAGACATGTCTTTCATCTGTCAAGTTTTCAATTCTTGTGAATCGTTCTCCCACTGGTTTCTTTGGCTGCACTTGGGGCATAAGACAAGGTGATCCTTTGTCGTCTTTCCTTTTTCTTATTGTTATGGAGGGCTTAGGCAAACTTATGCGCAGGGCAGAGGATCTTGGTCTTATTAAGGGCTTTAGGGTGGGTAGAGATCTAGTCCATTAGATGGAGATCTCTTATTTACTTTTTGCAGACGATACCCTGGTTTTTTGTGACGCTGATGTGTCTCAACTCTGATATTTGAGGTGCATCCTGGCTTGTTTTCAGGCGGTTTCCGGGCTAAAGGTTAACGTGGCCAAGAGTGTGCTTGTCCTGATAGGGAATGTTCATGATATTTCTTCTTTAGCTGCAGTTCCTAAATGCAGGGTGAGTTCTTTTCCTATTCTTATTCGGGTTTGCCCTTAGGGGTCTCCTCAAGGATAGTGGGGAGTTGGGATTAGTGATTGATAGATATGCGAAGAGATTGGCAGGATAGAAGAAGCAATACTTGTCTAAGGGGGGTAAAGTTACTCTTATTAAGAGTACTTTATCGAGCCTCTCCACTTATTTTTTATCTATGTTCCAAATCCCTTGCTCCGTTGCAGATAGGATTGAAAAAATTTAAAGGGACTTCCTATGGGGAGGAAGGGGTGACGAGTTCAAGTATCACCTTGTCAGATGGGAGCAAGTTTGCAAGCTTATGAAGTTGGGTGGTCTTGGCATTAGACGATTAGTTCCTTTTAATCAAGCTCTTCTGGGTAAATGGTTATGGAGATATGGAAGGGAAAGACATCATCCGTGGCGTAGGTTAGTCTTTTGTCAGTTTGGGGAAAAGGTTGGCGACTGGTCTACACATCCGATTTCTCTTGTGGGGGGAGTTGGGATGTGGAAATCCATTCGTAAGGGATGGGATGCCTTTTCTGCTCATATTAAATTCAAAGTTCGTGATGGAAGTCGTGTTCGTTTTTGGGAAGATTTTTGGTGTGGTGATCAGCCATTTCCTCGTACATTTCCTAGATTATTCAGTATTGCAGTTGATAAACACGCCTACGTAGCTGACTGTTATCGGCTTGATAGTAGTGGGATTACGTGGGACGTGCACTTTCGGTGTTCTTTTCAGGATTGGGAGTTAGACGAGGTATGTGTTTTTCTGGATCATTTGTATTGGCAGGAGGGAGTTGGCAGAGATTATGTTGATTTGACATGGGTTCCCTCTTCCCACGGTTGTTTCGAAGTAAGATCTTTGTTCTTATGTCTACCTAATTTTGATAATCGTGGCTTCCCGAGGAAGACCATATGGCGATCCATGGCTCCAACTAGGGTGGCTTTCTTTATCTGGACCGCTGTTTGGAGTAAGATTCTGACTATTGATAACCTGAGGAAAAGGGGCAATTGTTTAGTTAATTGGTGCTACCAATGCAAGAAATATGGGGAGTCAGTTGATCACCTCCTTATGCATTGTCCTATGGCGCACGATTGTTGGAATCTTATTCTTGGGTTGTTCGGCATGCGTTAGGTAATGCCACGATCTACTAAGGATTTGATTCATGTCTGGAGAGGATGTCATGTGAGAAGGGATGTACACGATTTTTGGAGAATTGTCCTACGTTGCGTATGGTGGTACATCTGGAGGGAGAGAAATAACAGAATGTTCGAAAGGAAAGAGTCATCTACGGCAACGTTGAAACTTTTCATTCTTCGTTCTCTCTTCAATTACGTGAAGAGGAGTTCTTGTTCCTCTTCAGATGATTTAATTATTTTCTTGGATTCTTTAGGGCCTTAGCCCTGGTTCCACTCTTGTTTAAGGGACGCGTTCCCCTTTGAACGCCTTTTTATTTTATTATTACTTATCAAAAAAAATATATATTATCCATATGATTTCATGTCATCTAATTATTACTTGGCAAACGCTATATTTACAGGAGAATATTTAGGGCTAACTGGAGCAAGAATAGATGGAGCTGAAATGCTTGCATGTGGCCTTGCAACCCACTTTGTCCTTTCAAAGGTACTTACGATATTAAAAACAGATTTACACAGCAAGAATGAAACTTTTTTAAGAATTGATTTAAAAAGCTGATGTTTTACATGATAATTACCATCGAACGCATCATTAATAATCTTTCAGTATGGAAGAGAATTTAATATTATTAAGAATAGAACTTTTTTTATGGTCTTTCTTTTCTTCTGTTCTGTTCTTCACAGGATCTTCAGTCTGTTCTGTTCTTCACAGGATCTTCAGTCATTAGAAGATGCTCTATGTGATGTGGTTTCTTCAGATGCATCAACTATATTTGAGGTCATCAACAAATTCACACATAAAGCATATATAAAGCCAGATAGCTCTTATAAAAGGTGGTCATTAGCAATAGTTTCATTCAATTCATGTCATGTTGTAACACCACCCAAAGAGGAGAAAAACCAGTGATATATAGTATTTCTATTATGCAATCTCAATCTTACACTATTGTTGTTTCCTAATGCTTCATTGTTTTCCCCTCAATCTAACACTATTGCATTGACACATGAAATTGCTAAAGTTATTGACATTAAAGATTTTTACAAATAGATTGGGCGTCATCAACGAATGCTTTTCTAGAAAAACTGTTGAAGAAATATTGTTAACTCTGGTAAGTGTGTCTGGTTACAATTAAATTACTCGTCATTTATTTTTCCCGGCCTCTGCCTAAAATTGTGATACATATAAGAACTATGAACATACATAGGGTGCAACTTTTCAAAAAAATATATATAGGGTGCAAATTGTTTTGTTTAGGAAAATGAAGCTACTGTAGAAGCAGAAAAGTGGGTGGTTGATGCAGTAAGTTATATGAAGTCAGCCTCACCAACAGGTCTTAAAATTTGTCTACGATCTGTAAGAATCATTCTAAATTCTTCTTTTTTTTGCTTTTTATTTTATTTTTTTGTAGAAATGAATGCTTTTTATATCCCAAAAAGATGCATGCATTATTTCATTAATAATGCGGTGTGTCATTCTATCATTAAAGTTTAACAAATTTTCTTGAATTTTCATCAGATTAGAGAAGGACGAATGCTCAAACTTGAATCTTGTCTGTTACGAGACTATACTGTTGTTTCTCACTTTATGCGAAGAACAGTGAACAGTGATTTCTTTGAGGTCTCTATAGTATACACATATTGCTTTCAGTGAATTTTCTTGACTAACTTCATGTTGATCACTGTAATGGAAAACCAACCTGCAGGGTGGAAGAGCAATGTTATTTGACAAAAGCAGAGATCCAAAGGTACAATAGTTGTCACTTATTGTCTCTGCATGACTCACCTTTCTTTTGTAGAAATACTAACCATCACTTATTCTCTCTGCATGAGTCACCTTTGGCTTTCTTTAGTTATCCAGATTCCAATAGTAATAATACATGTTTATTTCCCATTGTGAATCAGAAACTTAAACAGTAAATTTTCATTTAGAAGTCTTATAGGCTGTTGTATGGGGCAACACAAAGAGTTGCAATATATATATTTGTATATATATATACTTATATAGAAAGGTTGAGAAAGTAAAAGAAGATAGGGGACGCTATAAACGTGGGGGAAATTAGAGTACTAATGACAAAAGTTAATGATAATTGCTTTGCAATGACTTTAAAGTTGTAAAAAGATGAATAATCAGCATATCTTAAAGTGAAATGCTGATAAGTAAAAAACAACAATTATTACCAACAAGCTCCATAACATAAATTTTGGTAGCAAGTAATTGTGTAAGAAGACACAAGTAATTACCTTTCTTCGATTAATTTTATTTTAAGTGATTAAGCTAGTAATACAAATTGCTCATTGTTAGGAATTGTATCTCATATTCTATTGTAATTATGTTTCTATTTTAGGGTTTTATTTTATTGGGTAATTTCTTGTTAGACAAGTCTTGGGCTCCAACGAATTCTAATCCTCATGCAACGGTTCAGGGCTTTATAAATAGATACCTAGGTTATTATTGAGAGTTATGAGTCGGGAGAGATGTAGCCTCATGAGGGTTTATGGGTAGAGGGAGTTTACTATTTGGTAAAGTGAACATTGATGGCGAGAGGGAGTCTCATGGAGTACATAGAGAAGAACTCTGGGGTAAAAGTTTATGCACATGGTCTGGTGTTAATTGTAATATCTCTACATGATTTTAGAAATATCTTCTCATCCGTGGACGTAACCTAAATTTTGGGTGAATCACATAAATCTTGTTTTGGTTGTGTGATTACTATCTTTCATTGGCTGTCGATGTTTTTGTGCTTCTACTGCCCCAACATATACAAATCTTAATCTCTTCTCCACACTAATTATGTCTACAACTCCCAATAAAAACAAAATAAATAAAGATGGTATTATTAAATGAAAGACAACTTATTAGGCTCAAAATGCTAGAAATATAAATATGGGCACATTATTGGATGAAAAGTCTTCCATTCCAAGCTATATTAACCACCTAGACATACACATGATCTTGACGTGGCTGCCATATTGGCACTACATCATCCTTCTCAGGTGAGAAAGAACTCATCCTTGAGTTTGTGACCAGCTCTCCATAATACTCTGACATGTCTTGAACATTGAAAGTAAGATGAATATGAGCATTGGGAGGGTCTTCAATCTTTTAAGCATTATCATTGAATTTCTTATGAATTGTACATGGACCAATCCTTTTCTCCTTAGTCTTGTTCTAGACCCATACAAAATCTCCTTCGTTGAAAGTCTTAACTTGACGATGAGTATTTGTGACTGACTTATATTTTTCATTACTTTTTTTCAAGTTTCTTTCTCACTTCTTCATGAATTATTACCATAGAAGTGGCAAAATCCTCAACCATCTTATTAGGCAATGTTTGTAACAGAATTATCAACCATCACAAGTAGAAGACTGACAGATGCCAATTTGTACCACAATTATTGGCCATCACAAGTGCAAGACTGACATGTGGCCGAGAATGCAATTATAGAGTGTCACGTGGCTTCATTTGAAGAAACCAATTGGCAAAATTAACTGCATAGAAAGTGGGAATACAAAGTGGGACACGTAACAGATTTCTAGGAAGGTAGTTATGACTGGAAAATAGTTGTCTAAGAAGTGGGACACGTGGTAGATTTTTAGGAAGACAGTTATAGAGGGAAAATAGTTGTCTAAGAAGTGAACACATGGTAGATTTCTAAGAAGGCAGCTATGGCTAGAAGATAACTATTAATAAATGAGACACGTGACAGCCAAAGAAATAGAGAGTTACTAGCAGTTGGAAGATATAACTGCTCAGTGGTAGTTGGAAGAAGATATAACTGCTCACTGGCTATAAATAGTATATTGGAAGAGAATGAAGAACACACCTACACGCATCAAACAACTCCGAACTTGTCATTTTTATTCAAGCACTTTATTTTCAGTAATTAGCCTAGTTTAATTCTAGCACTTGTAGTACAATTCTTAATTAATGCAATTTCAGTCTTCCAATAGTTTCTCCGAATTCTTTGAATAGCTTACATTAGTTTAATCCGTTCTTTCTTTCATTCCATCACTCCAACTCCGAAGTCCTGTTCTACAAAGGAAAAGGGAACTTGAGAGAGTGGTGATCCCAAGCTCTCCACTTTCGACTGAACACGAAGCCATCCACGGCCTAAATTTGGGATATTGTTTGGTACTATGACATTCTTATTGGATTTTGGTGAATCTTGGCACAACCGCAGACACTTTCGCAGCCGACAGGAAGACACCAAAGATTTTTTGCTGCCAAACAGACAAAGATATTTAGGATTGGTGCACAATAAAGATAGTGTCTTGGAGCTTGTCCATAAACCAATTCAAGCAAACTCTTTCATGTAGAAAGATTCTCCACATAGTCATAGGAAATTCAGCTTGGCAAAGAAACATGTCCCATTGCTTTTGTTTCTTTGTCGCCAACACTCTAACCAAGTTTTTTACAGTTATCTTCATCACTTTGCTGAGCCCATCAACAAACTAGTACCAATCTTCTTCCAAAAACACCTCCCAAATGACGAAGAAATTTGGTATCCCTATCCGAAAGAATGGACTTTGGAACACCATGGTGGTTAACCACATCCCTATCCGAAAGAATGGACTTTGGAACACCATGGTGGTTAACCACATCATTAAAGTAGATTGGCAACATAAGAAACATCCATAGTCTTCTTGCAAGGAATAAAATGAGCCATTTTAGAGAAATAATCAACAACCACAAGAATGAAATCATTGCCACTTTTAGTTCTTGACAAACCCACCACAATCCGTGCTAACATCTTCCCATGGAGCCTTAGGAAGTGGTAATGGAATGAAGGAACTGGTATTTTGAGTTTATCATTTACAAGTTTTATATATCCAGCATCTCTTTACATAATGAGTCACATCCTGGTAAATGGTAGACCAAAAGTATCTTTCCTTCACAACCAAGATAGATCTCTAAGGTAGCATTTTGGAATACACAAGTGAGCTCCTTTAAAGAGAAAATCATCTTGAAGAAGACAGTCTTAATTCTTGGTGCACTTATTTTCAAACCTCCAATTCACCAAAATCTTTATCTTTGGCGTACATGTCTCTAATGACATCATTTCCTTCAAGTTGACCACTCATGAAAGTTAGAAGTGCTACTCTTCTACTAAGAGCATTTGCTACTCATATGTTTCAACACATAAAGTGTTCTCTTGTAAGAAAGCAACCCACTTCATTTATCATTGGTTCAAACTTCCTTGGTGGTTGATGTGCTTGAGAGATTCGTGATAGGATTTAATATAGAGTGTTGATAAAGAGTCCGAATTAAAAATCTTAAAACACTCACAAAGTATTGTGGTCAGCACCAATTATGGGATCTAAAATAACTCTTTATGGGATCTAAAATAACCCTAGTCATGCATTAAAATTCAAATGTTATATGTTTGGCAGCAAAATATCTTTTATGTGGAAAATGGAAGTTGTGGGTGTGCCAGAACTCCCTGAGAATCCAATGAGGATGGAATAGTACCAAACAATATTGCAAATTTAGCCGTTGAGAGGCTTCATGTTCGGGTGATTGTGGAGAGTTTGGAATGCCAACTCTCTTAAGGTTCTTTTTGCCTTTGTAAAAAAGGACTTCAGAAAGGAATGAACAAATGTAAGCTACTGGAAGACTGAAATAAATTGAACTGAAATATTATATAAACTATGAATTGAAATATATGTGCTGAAAATTAAAGGCTAAGCTTAGTGCTGAAAATAAAGTGCTTGAAATGTAAAGATTACACTAATAAAACATTAAGTGCAGGAATGAAAAGACGATTTGGTTGATGTGTGTTCAGGTCTTCTATTTATAACCAGCCACTAAGCAGTTTCATCTTCCAACAGCTGGCAACTACCTACTTCTTTAGTTGCCATGTGTCCCACTAAGTAGTTACATCTTCAGAGTGCTGGTAACTCCCTATTTCTTTGGTTTCCACGTGTCCCATTTCTTAGCAGTTATCTCCCAACTAGAACTGCAATTCTAGAGATTTGCCACTTGTCCCACTTCTTAGGCAGCTCGGCCGCACCAGTCTTCCACGGGTAAGCGGCTGATAATTGTGGTTTAAACATTGCCCCTCAAAGTTTAATCCGACTAATGTGACGGTGGCGTTCTTGGAACAATGCATTCACACTATGAATAATAAGCTTAGCAATTTAGTCCCAGACAGATTTAAAAGATAAGAATATAAATCACTAGTCAAAGCGCATCGCTTAAACAAATTTGTTTATTCAATAAAGATACATCATCCACTAAAATTTGTCTTATCCACTTGCAAAAAATTATTACTATTATTTTCTAAAGCACTGTGAATTTCAAAAACTTATATGTGATGGAAACTAAAAGATCATTCAAAGGAATGATTAAAGTTACGGAAGAATAACAAAAGAAAAGTAAAAAATATATATATATATTGGTTGATTTGGAATAAAATACTCTTCAAGATGTGAAATAAAGCGCATATGGGTGGCTTAAGAAGGAGGCAATTCCAGTTAGAGATCGAGCTGATACACCTGTGTGCACCCCATAAACCTTCTTATCAAAAAAAAAAAAAAACATTGCCCCCTTGAAGAAAATTAGATAGATTATTGAAGATTTCCTTCCAGTGGAAGAATCGGTAATGGCTGAGAAGATATAGCTGTTACTAGAAGAAAATCAGTTTGTTCAAGATTTCCTTCTAGCAAAGGAAAGCAGATGAGAAGTTGGTGCCATATCCAAAAGAAATTTTGACTGTGGAAGATTTTATTCCACAATCTGTGCCT